AACAGAAAATATTCGGACTCCAGGGCTACTGCAAGAGATTATATCCCTATCAATGACCTAAGAAGAGAGGAAAGGACGTGCGAGGCTTGTCGGGGAAGAAAGGTTTGAAAGCACCAAGCTAAGCGGCCGAAACCGTGTAATGGAAGGCAATGCATTCCATCCGTAGGTATTTTTAGCAACGACCGGAAGCTTATTAGCAGAGAACTGGACTGGAAAGGCATCGTTGATGACTCGTTTTGGTAACAAAATCGAAGGAGTATGGAATCATGAGAATCGGAACTTTGACGATCACACACTGCTTTCACATCTCCGGCAGTGCCACCCTCCCGAATTGTGACCGTTAGCGTAGGAATCTTCGCAAAGTGTCGAAAAACCACAGCAAGGATTCATAGTTTTCGAATAATTGCACAACTAGAGTATTTTTAGCGCCCACCTTTGCGAAAAGGTAGAAATATATCTAAAATAGAAGGGCACATGTCGCATGAAATTCCACTTCGTTAGCTATTTCGGGAAGTTCCCTTATCGCAGGTTCAATGAAGGATTTGAAGGATCCAAAATAAAAAAAAAATACCCCAAAAAAAGAAAAAATAGAATAGCGTAAATATGCATGACAGACGATGAAGAAAGTGATAAAAAGGAGGCTGCATTCCGTCATACGAGAAAAAAAAACTATTTGGAGCGTGAGAACATCAATATCTTTTTTTCCAGAATGTGAGGAGTCATTATTGAAAAGAATAAAATTACCCAGAGAGAAGGGAGAAGTTCGGTCCAGCTAGCCACCATCCCTAACTTCCTGGTGTCGGTGTATTATACATAGAATAGCAGGAGCCTTGATGCAGAAGAGCGGTCGAAAAAAAAGAGTTGAGAGGATCCAGCCGTCAAGGATGGAAGGTAGAGCTGATGGAACGGCTACTGATCCGGGATAGTTGTATGCATCGCCCAGAGGGACAAGAGAAAAGAGGAGCTTGGAAGAGGAACGGGACAAATTGACACCAGGAACTATCAACCCTAAAGTTTTCGTTGTGTTCACTACATCCTCTCACTTAGAGGAGAGCGCTGCTCTGTAAGACGAAATATCATCAGTTAGTCAGAAAAAGTGGCAACCGAATCGTTCTCTTTCCTTCGGGTAATTTTGTTCTTAATCATCAATGACCTCATCTCCTTACGAGGAACTATGGGGGCCGCGTAAAAACCACGTAGAACACAAAAACAAGTAGGTTAGTTAAAATAACGGCAGGATTCCCTGGGTCCTATGGCTTGATATAAGTTCCACTGAGAACTTTATTGGTTATGAAATGATTCGGAATGGCATAAAATAGCTTTGGAAGAATTTTGGCGCAATTCTCGAACCAGCTCTTCCCACCTTGAAGAACTTCACCTGTGAAAGATGATCAGGTATACGCGAGGCGATAGAGACAGGTGTCAAGCGAATGATGGATCGGCACTTGAAGAAAGGAGCGTCTCGGCGGCCATAAATTTGAATTTGAAAGACAAGAGGAGGCAATTCATAAATCTGGGTACATGATAGCATACAAATGAGAATTATGTGCGTATGGACGTGTGTTTGAGGGCGACGAGTAGGTTCGAAGATGGATGAGATCGAGCAGCGTTCGAGGATGGATCGGTGACGCAGAACGACAGACAACCATCTGCTGATGATCGTCGGCTAACCGTATGCTGCCGTCTTGGACACACTGCGATTTGTTCTTATATTTATCCATCAAAACCACCGGAGCCCGAGAGAATGTCAAAACCGCAGGAGACCGTGAGAGTGGTCCTGGGGAATCCGTAGCGCTTAATGTGGAGTTCTTTAGAGATTTAAAGCAAATTAGAGAACGGTAGCCGAAGAAAACAATGCGTGTGACTTAAAGGAATCGACAAAGTCGGCTTAAGTTCAGCAAGAACTGGGGAAATGGTACGAGAATCCGATTGCAGCAGTAGCGGAGGTCTGACGGATGGAGGAGTGTGGAGGGTGCCACTTCGCACCACCGCTCAGCCTTCGAAGCGGTCGTCGTCCATTCGATTGATCGATGAATGGCTGATCAGAGTTTCTTTACGTCTCCGATGGTGGTCCGGCAGAAAAAATAGCGAGACAATGAGCCGTAGTGGGAGTCAGAGCGGACGCCGAAAGGATGGTGTAAATGGCTTGCGGTCACGAGCAGCACCCCATTTTCTCTGAATATCTTATGCGTATGGCTCTTGATCTCATGAAAGCCGAATGAGATAGCGACCGGAAATATGACCCTTGACCCAACAATGAGCACGAGAAGAAGAAATGGCAGAGAATCGTCGGAAGCTGAGAAAATGGGAAATTGTGAAACAGATATTCGAGAGGTTGTTTGAGGGCCGAGACGATCAGTCAAATGGTGGGCAATGCGGGACCGATGGTACCATCCATCCATCTATCGGTGCATCGCTCACAACCACCACTCGGTCTGCTGGGTTGACCCAGAGGACGACGCCCCCTTGTAAACCCGAAAGCTCTCGATCAACATCCTCGGCAAGATGACTGTGAAATAAATCGAATCTGGTCAAGCATGTGTACGTGCTGGGTACATCTGGACATTAAAATTCTGCTTTTGAACAGCTTAAAAATAATTTTTAATGACGAATAAAGTGACGCACAGTGAATAACCAGCCTGAATGGCAAGTGAAGGTTTTACCGCGATTACCAAAGAAAACGGTTGCGAAGTGAAATCGAAAACGTGACGGGAGGAGTACGTTTGTTGAGAGAGCGAGGGTGCTATCTGGTGATCGGACTGAGGGCGGGTCGGAGCGCGCCAACTATGATAAATCACCTTTGTCGCTAGTCTGACGGTCATTTAGATGTCCAGTGCGTCTCACTCGAGGTGCTTTTTCGATTTCCTCACATCATCACCTCTCCTTCACAAAACATCTACATGAATAGATAATGGGTTCGATTTTCGGCGATTTCGTAAGCGAACGACTACCGTAGGGTGTAGGAAGGAATTAGTGGAGAAGCGCGAGGCGATGCCCCGCCGTGGGTGGCAATACTGACCAGCAGTGTCCAATTGAATGGAGGGCACGACAAAGTGAATGTGCAACCCGACGGGACGAGGATAATGAGCCGAAAGCAGATGAGTCATGCATTTACTGATGAACACTGGTGTACGAATTGCCACCACGAAATGGATTCAGAAACCGGACCGGAATCAATGAAAAGAGGTGAGCGGGTGGGATGAGCAGAAGCAATTGAATAAGCCCGAGTGAAAGAGCGGTGAATTTACTGACCCGAAGAACGCTGGTTGTGTTGACAGAGGCGGCCGAATTGGACGCGATACACTGATAGTAGCCGGAGTCGAGCACATCGAGTTCGGTGATCACCAAACGGGACGAGTTCTCACGATTTCGGACCTTCACTCGTCGCGATTTCTCGATCGGTGCGTGGTTCTTCAACCATCTGAAAATACCAGCCCTTCAAACGTAGTCTTCCTTTTTTACAAAATTCGTCAAAAATATATAGGCCAAAAATACTCTAAAAATGCGAGGATTCATGAATCATTGAGATATTAAAGGACTTTAATATTAATTTATTTAATATTTTTAATATTAAAGGACCGATCAATCCGACGATTTTCGTCCGTCTTTTTTTTCTTTGCAACCAGCGGCAGGATTCAAAAATGCGCAGTTTCGGGGTTAGATAGAGTTTTGGCACATTTTCAATACCTTTTCCTCAATATAGGTATTTTCAAACGTATGTTTCAGTTCGAACAGAAACTTCTTTCAGCAATAATTGATTCAAAAGTTCCTTCTGATTTCTATTGATTTTTTGGGGACAGCTATGTTCTGTGTTATAAAGTTCGTATAATC